AGGGAATTCTGGGAGTCGAAGTCCACATCTTAAAGTCGCCAAGGTTGAGAAACAGTGCTCTAAGGGGTCCATGTGTATACAGGTATATCTATGCATGTGTGGAAAGAATATCCATAATTACTTCTAGCTACCAGGAATTATAGACAAACCATGCTGTCAAGGAGAAACAAAAGCTATTATCAGTGCCTGCAAATGAAAGGGAAAATTGTTTCTTCAGCATGTGTAGATTATGCACTCTCACATACATGCACGCCAAGTTAGGTGATAGCTTTTAAAAATAATAAATAATCAAATAAAGACTTCTCAGCCATTGCAGCCAAGACACTTACAAGAAGGAATCCAGCACAATAATATTTCTACTTTTCTTGGAAGGGCCAGGTTGCAACAGCTGTTAGCAGGCACCTGTCAAAATAGTCTTCAACTTGGCTCACAACAACCCAAGCCATGAATATTGTTATTCTTGAGCTTGAAGCCATCCAAATCTGACACATTGTGGGTAAACCCAGAAATTTCAAGAGTTTGATCTTAGAGGTTCTGGGAACTGCAAAAAATAGAGATGGCTAGAGAAATGATGGCATAGATTTTTCCTAAGTGTTCCCCTGTTCCTATTGGAAAGAAGCCTCTATTTTCTCTTCAGGATTTTATTAAGGGCATAAGATTTTGTGACCTGCAGCTTAGAACAACTTCTGCCTTCTAATAAAATTTGTTACTTGGAAAAGGTGCTACAGGATTGTTCTGATTTTTTGCATCAGAGACTAACAAGGCTGTCCTCCTCCAAGATCCTCTTTTCCAGAATTCCTTGCTCACATAAATTATTTCTCAGAAATCATTCATATTTTTCTTTTTTCTTTTTTAATAAAAAGTACAATATGGCCCCATACTTACCAAATGTATCAAGGATGTCTGTTATTAAGACAAATTTACTGGGATAAAACTGAATTACAGTTGTATCTGAAAGAAGTTTAGAACACTAGGTGGGGAGAAAAAGAGAAAAGAAAATTAACATATTGTGTAATTACAGCTTGTCATTTTGCCAATTAAAAGGTAGCTCAAAGACAGCACATTATTTGAAGGGCAGAATTCATCCACTTTTAGAAACACATAGACTTCCATTCCAACTCTACAGCATCCAATTATTTATTTCCTGGCTGACCCTCAAGCTGCATACTGATTTCTTCAGCACTAAATTCCTTCTTAACCCAACAGCAATGGAATGGAACTGCTGCCAAGCCCCACCATATTATTTATAATATATTCCAGATGTCATTCCAGCACCAAAAGATAAACATTCCCAATAAACGCTAGTAACAATGCTGGGGAAGGAAAGGTGGAACAGCGGGGCCAGACTCCTTTCACAACTGAACACTCCAACGGCAAACCCCTAGGAAGTTTCTCTTTGAACCCTCCCCAACCATCTTTGCTAGAAGAAAATTAACCAGGGAGAAAGAAAATACACAGATATGAAGGGATTGTTCTTTCCATCCATTACTGCTGTTATTAACTGGCCTGAGCCTCTCCCCTACAGGCCAGCAGTGCTAAATGCTCTGAGAGAAAAAGTAACAGGATATCCCTGGATATCCCATTTCCAGTTATTCCTGTGTTAGCTACTCATTACAGTAACCGTGAAGAATTAAGCATTACTGCAGGATCATTCTGCTTTCCTCTTCTCTTCCCATCACCTTTTTCCTTCTGGTCAGCCCAGGGATTATCCCTCGCAATGAACCTTTCAGGTATAAATACTTCAAATAAATAAAATACCTATCTAGGAAGCAAAGCATCTCCTCTCCCTCATCTGCAAAGCTCAGGAGGAGGAGGAGAAGCAGAGTCACCTGGTTTGGGGGGTTGCACCTACCTGAAGCAAAGGTGGAGCGAGGGTAAAAAAGAGAAAACGCCAGTAAGGAGAATGAAGATGGGCCTCTGATTTCCTGCCTTCTTTCCAAGCAAGAGAGCATTACTTGCTGGATTCCTTCTTTGCAGGGAGCTATTGTACGGAGCTACCCCTGGTCTCTAATGTTTTCCTTGCCACTTTTTTACCTCTTTTCTAGTTTTATAATATTTTTCAAGGAGCAGTCACCAAAACTATACCCAGCAGCCAAAGCGTGCTCATCTGTGTTGCCCTAGTGCATGAGGGCATTCCACTGGCAGTTCTCTTTTGAGTTCCCTTCCTAAGCGTGGAATGTGCCTCCTTATAGCAGTCACAGGCTGGCTTGACTCTTTCACCAAACCGCCAACATAACTCCAAGATTCTCTGCTGGTCAGGCACTGCCAGCTCAGGAGTCTGCTGAGAACTTACAGCACCTAGATTTCTGTCTGCGGGCCACAGCCAAGACCAGCCTCAAAGGCTGGAACCACT